CGGGGGTGGGGGGTTGGCTCCAGGGGTCCAGCGCCTGCCTAAGCAAGTATGAGGTTCTTTGTTCAAACTCCAGTACTACCAAAACAAAACAAAAAAACGCACCAGACTTTGGGTCAATACCTAAATCATGAGGCCAGGTTTCACTGTAATTTTCAAAGCATTTACAACACTCTTAAGAGATTGTTCACATTTCCAACTTTAATTGTTAATATTAATTACTTGTTACCATTTTATTTTTTTTCCATTTGGGGAAAAATTGAGTGCCAAAGAGAAGACTCCCCTACAGGTATACAAAAGTGGCCTCAGTCCTTTCAGACTCTGGGACCCCTGACTTCCATATTGGTTTGTAAACCTCAGGCAGAACTATGTCCCAGGACTGATCTAATCCTCTGCCTTCTCTGGCCCACTCCACACAATTTTCACCAATTTCAGAATCTGGCTGGGTACGGTTAACTGGATCTTCTGGTTTCTCTGGAGCCTACTGTCTTTCTGGGGAAACCTTGTCAGGGATTTGAGGACATGAATTGATGGCCAGGCTCTGGGCTCTGGAGGAAGAGCCTACAGGTACCCACCCTTACATACACACGCAACCTCCAGTCAACCTGCCTGGATTCCCTCCCTGTTTACTTGCTCTGTCTGGTGCTCCCAGCCTTCAGGAAGGAAAAATTCTTTCTGCTGTGGAATGAAAATGAAGGGAAGCAGAGAGGAGCCTGTGTTCCCACCTGCAGTTCCTTTCCATCTCCTCAGGGCCCAGGGCACCAGAGACACTCACTTGGGAGACAGTAGGGCTTGAAGGAGAGACAGGGAAGGAGGCCTTACTCCATGGATTATCTCCTGTGTGGTGATCTTTTGTGTGTTTTCTCATCTGGTCCCCCACACTCAGGCTGATGGATGGATTGAGATGTTCGTCTTCATGCTTAGCATGGCTGAGGGCTGTTCTCAGCATTTCTGATCAGTTTTACACTGGCCAAGGATGTCCCTGAAATGGAATCAGACATGCTTGCTGTAAGGGTGACAAGGGTGCTGGCAGTGCTGGATACAGAGCACAGGGGCAGGGACACACATGGCCCATGAAGACACAGTCAACAGGCATAGACAGGAGACACAATGATTGTTTGGGCTAAAGGGAGAGCCTACTGGAAGGGGGTAAACCCAGAGAGGGGATGAAAGGACCTGTGGGTTTTCTGTCCCCATGTTGCCTCTGGTTGATGTGACAGCGTGAGCCTGCACAGTAGGAAGGGAGGGGGCTGAGAGTTCAAAGTTCATCAGACTTATGTCTCATTTGTATTTGGCAAAGTGAATGAAGCTAAGGTGCACAGAGGAGAAAGGATACAGCCCTCCCTAAAGGTGGAAAAGCCCTGCCTAGAAGTTGAACCCAAGGGAAGATCTGAATAATAGTATGGGCCCACTTGTCCATCCCAGAGATGGAAGAGACTCCTCATTCCTGTCCCTAGGCAGGCCATCGACCCTTCTTGCTCTTTGGCTTTGCTGTCTACCCAAGCGGTGGTCACGCAAGCCTTTACTCAGCTATGGATGCCACAGCACTGTGATAAGGACCAGATTCAAGAATAAGAAAACACGGCTGGGAAGGGGGCTCAGTGTTAGAGCGCTTGCCTTGCATGCCTGAGGCCCTGGGTTTGATTTCTCAGCACCATATAAGCAAAAAGAAAAAAGCCAGAAGTGGCGTTGTGGCTCAAGTGGTAGAGCGCTAGCCTTGAGCTGAAGAGCTCAGAGACAGCACCTAGACCCAGAGTTCAGGCCCCATGACCACCACCAACAACAACAAACAAACAAACAAACAAACAAAGAACAAGAAAACAGGTGGAAGAGCTTACAATGTCTAAATCGATACGTTGGGATTTCAGACAAGCCCTGAAAGGGAGAATAGCGTGCTTGGCTTTGGCTGTAACTCTGCTGCTAGAGTGTTAGGATACTGGTTTGAGTCATACAATAGAGCGTCTCAAAATAGTCATGTTCTTTAATAAAACACGATTTATTTCTCACCTGTGAAGACTCCCTAGCTGAAGGTGAGTGGAGGCTTTCCCATCAAAGATGCCTAGATTCTTTCTTTTTACTCTGCCATCCTCATCTGTGGGCCAAGGTGGCTGCTTCAGCTCCAGCCCTTATCACTGCATTGAAATCAGCAGAGAACACTGAGATGGGAAGGTACCCTTTTCCATCCTTATATGGGCACAACCCAGAAATTGCACATATTACCTCCATTCATATCCCATTGGCCAGGAAGGAAGTCTGGGAAATGTAGTCCTTTGCCATATCATGTGGGGTATGGAGAAACAGCCTGCACTTTTTATCACAACCATTGACTTGCTTGGGCTCTATCTGTGTCATAGTTTTCTTTATTTTTAAATTCATTCATCTCTCTCTCTCTCTCCTGCACACACACACACACACACACACACACACATGCATGCACGCACGCACGCGCACACGCGCACACACACACACACACACACACATGCAAAAATAAGATTTTTAAAAAATATTTTTGTATTACTGGGGCTTGAACTCAGGTGCCCTGGGCTTGCTCAGTTACCACTTGAGCTACTCTCCAGCCTTTTTGCTGGTTAGTTGGAGATGGAGTAGACTTTTCTATCTAGGCTGTCTTTAAATTGCCATCTGGGGCTGGAACTGTGGCCCAGTGGTAGAGTGCTTGCCTAGCATGCATGAAGCCCTGGGGTTCCATTCCTCAGTACCACATACACAGAAAAAGCTGGAAGCGGCACTATGGCTCAAGAGGTAGAGTGCTAGCCTTGAGCAGAAAATCTCAGGGACAGCCCCCAGGCCCTGAGTTCAAGCCTCATGACCCACCAAAAAAACAACAACAACAAAAATCCATCTTCCAAGTCACCAAATCCTGAGAATTAGAACCCCAGGCCAGAGCCATCAGTGCCAGGCTCTAAAGTAAGATTTTTGAACCTGCTTATTGCTAGTGGACCTTATAAGCCCCGTGAAGTCAGGTGCAAAGTCTCTAGTGCTCACCACTGTATTCCCAGAATGCACTGCGGGTCTGGCACATGGAAGCCATATACTGTCTGCTCCTGGATGATGAATGATGGCCATTTGGACTTTCCTATTTGGTGGGTGGCATTTTTTTTCCTCATTCAGAGGTTTAATTTCTCTTTCCTTCCAAGCCTTCTGGCTCCACCGCTTCTCATCTCTATGTGCCAAGCTTTTCTAAGCCTAGGAAATAAAATGTGCTTTAGGCCAGACTCCTGACTGGGATTAAAAATAAATGAAAGTATATCAAAGCAAGTTAACCATAGCAATGGCTTCCAGGGTAATTAGGCGTCAGTGTAGGAGGCCAACTTTAGAGCATCAGGCTCTAACTATCAAGTGCTCTCATCACCCCACTACTGCATAGGGCAGGGAGCATACTGGGCTAGCTGAAGGCTCCCTTGACCCTCCAACACCCTAAAAGTAGGCGAGACCGCCACACACACTGGCCTGGGAGAACGGACTCTAATTCTAGCTCTGTTACCTACATGCTGTGGTGATCCTAGGAAAATCCATACCTGTTTGGTCTCAGCCACCACAAAGTGGTTTGCTCTACTTGTAATCATCTAGAAGGCACAGGTCATGTGGAACTTAACTCACAGGCAGAAGACCCTAAATTTTCTCAGTTCACTATACCCTTAGTATCTCAGTGTGGTAGCTCCCTGCAAAAAAATACCTAACACTTATTTATTAACTGATTAGTTTCAAAGAACTTAGTAATGATTGTTTGCATAGCATCTGGACCATACCATTGTGTGCCCTCAAAATCACAACTATTTTGCCCCGCCTCTGTGGGAATCTCCTGCAACAGTTGGTGGTGCCTTGGCACACCGTTTGGGAACTGCAGTCATAAGACTTTGAAGATGAAAGGAAGTTGTGGACATCAAGGGTTTAGCACGATGCCTGACACAATGCCTGGCCCAGAGAAGGAGATCAGAAAATGTTGATTGCCCTACATGATCCCTCAAGACTCCTTGTGAGATCCTCATATAGAGTTGTTGATCTAATTTTTCCCTGCTTCTGGCATGGACCTTTTAGATGGATGGGTATCCTTATGCCTTAGCTTTGGGCTTGGTTGTATTACTCACTTTGTCCAACGGCATGTGGGAAAAGTGGCAAAGTGGCATTTCTGAGCATTGGCCTTACAGCAGCCTCACATAACTCATTTGCTGTCTTACCCTTTGCTGCTGCTAAGAGAAGATTGTACCACCAACCCAGAGACTCCAAGAGGACTATGGAAGACAGGAGCAGCATCAGACCTACAGATGTGCTGCTGGAAATAAAACATCCTGGTCAACCCACAAACTCATGCATGAAAACAAATGGCTGCTATGGTTTAGATAAGTGTCCCCCAAAGGCCATGCATTAAAGGTTTGGGCCCCAGCCAATGGTGCTATTAGGAGGTGGCAGAGCATTTAAGAAAGAGGTGGGGCCTATTAGCAGGCTTTCCAGTCATATGAAGGGGATATTGGGACTCTGGTCCTCTGTCTCTCTCTGTCTCTCCTTTTCTCTGCTGTGGGCCTCAACAAGGTAAGCATAATCCCTGTAATGCGAAGTCCAAAATGACTGGGCCATCTGACCATGAATTGAACCTTTTAAAACTATTAGCCAAAAAAAAACAACTTCCTATTTTTTAAGGTAATTATCTCAGGTATTTTGTTTTAGGAATGGAACACTCTGTCTCACATAGTGGGCTATGTCCCAGCGAAAGCTCAGTGTGCATTCTTTATATGTAAAGCACACATCAAGCTGTCAGAAAGGGACTTCTTTTCATAGTAGCCATTATTGTAACCATTCAAAGCTTTACAGTTTCTGTGATCCTTTTGACTTCAGCTGTTCTCAGCTTATAGTAGCAGTGAGCACTGGGTTGCCCATATCTCAGAGATTTCCCTTCCTCCTTTCTTGTTGTGTTTCAAGTACCAAAAGCCCTTTAAAAAAAAACTCTATTCTCCAAGGTGAACTACTTCCTGCTCTGTTCTTATTAGCTCCAATCTCAGTGATTTGCCCAGTCCCTGCCGCCAGCCTGGGAAAAGCTGGGGACTATACACGTCAAAGGTTCCTCAAGCCCATACCCAGATCAGCATCAAGATCTCCCTCAAGAGCTCTGAAATGAAAACAACAGGAGAGCCCACCCCCAGCCTTGGGCAGACCCTGGAGTGGCTGAGAAAGGAGCTGGTAAGGCTTTGCATTTCTTTTGCCCTCATTTCCTAAGGTGCTCAATTAGCTGAGACAGAGGCTTCAGGGACCCTGAAATATGGACCCTTCAGGCACCCTTCTGGGCCCGGACACACAGCGTACAATTGGGTCTCAGGGGCTGGGATAAGTAGGTCGTGGCCTACATAGAAGGTATGCTAGGTGCAGTGTTGGCTAAGCTGGTTTTAACATTCACTGGGTCCTGGGTATGCTGTAGTATGACTTCTTGTAAGTAGCTTGACCTCTGTACGCCTGAGTTTCTTTATCCTAAATTAGGGGTGACAAAACTAATTTGGTAACGGTGATAGAAGGATCCATTGCAAGGTGACATGCTGTAGGTGTGATCACCAGACTCTGATGGGCATGGAGGACACTCACTGTTTTAGCCTGGATGTTCTAGAAAGCAGAAGCAAGACAAGACTTGAGGAACTACCAGAACATTTGGAGGTGCAAGCCTGGAGTGGTGGGAGGGAGAGAAACTGGCCAGAGGCAAAGACTGATGCTGTGCCAGGCTGTGGTGCCTGGTGTTCTGGAGCTGCCTACTGCTGCAGGAGCATGACAAAGGTCCAGAGTGACGTCCACTGGTAACGATTCACTGGTAACCACACACACTCTCATGAACATGAATGTTAGTTAATCCTTGGTGGCTACGTGGATGCTAGGTCTCATATCCTTCACTGTAGTGCTTTCTCCAAGTCCTAGAATTGAGGGGTGTTCCGAAGCATATGGGGTCACCAGTCAAAAGAGGGAAGGGGGGTTGTTCAGGGAACCTCAAAAGAGGCTTAGTCCCCAATACAGCCCCTTCTCATTCTGGACCAAGATGCTGCAGGATTGTTTGAAGAATCTTTTTGGGTTGCCAGGCAACAGATCCCCTAGATCCCAACACTATCATCACCTCCCCCAAAGGGGAGCAGGGGATAGGGGGAGGCTCCTCTGCTTGAGCTGAGATTGCTTGGGACCTAAGCCCAAAACTCCCTGTTTCCCTACAGAAGGACAAGGCCAGGAGGGAGCAGGTGCCACCCAGAGACCAGCCTCTCAGGCTGAAGCTCTTTGTGTTCTCTTTCAGCTTCCTTCCTATTCCTGGCATAATTCTAATACTTGAGTGCTGGACACAGACTTTGTCTCATCTGCAAAATAACCAGCTTGGCATAAAAACTAACATATCTTTTTAAAAAATGTTTTCAGTGCTAAGAACTAAGCCCAGGACCTTGTACATAAAATGTCCCACCACTGAGCTACATCTCCATCCCTGAAACATGTGTTCATTCTTGTTACTGGTGTTGGAACTCACACCCAGTTCATCGCACATAGCTCTGTTTCTGAGCTACAGCCCCAGCCCCTAAAATACTATTTTTATAGGATAAATAATGGTAATATATCCCTTTTTATTTTTTTATTGTTATTATAAAAGTGATGTACAAAGGGGCTGATTACAGTTATATGTCAGGTAAAGAGCACCTTTCTTTTTTGCTGGCTTTTTTCTTTTTGTTTATGTGGTGCTGAGGAATCGAACCCAGAGCCTCATGCATGCAAGGCAAGCACCCTACCACTGAGCCATCTTCCCAGCCCCAAGAGTACCTTTCTTTTTGGACAATGTCACCCCCTCCTTTGCTCTCTCCCAGTTTTAACTTCCCATCACCAGCCACAGTTGTATGGTTTATTTTAACATAGTATCTAGCGGATACTACTGCTGCATTTGTTCACCCTTTGGTCTTGCATTTCTGTGCAATATGTATCTCTTCTAATGAGAAATAAAGCTGGGCAGTGATGGCTCACATCTGAAATCCTAGCTACTTGGGAGGCTGAGATAGGAAGGATCACAGTTTGAGGTCAGGCTACACCAAAAAAATGTGTAAGATCCTTTTTCTCTACTAATGCCTGAGTACAGTATCATAATCCTGGCATTCTAGCTTCATGGGAAGCATAAATAGGTCTCACTCTAAGAGCATTCCTACACAGGAAGCAAGACAATCTCAAAAATAATCAATATAAGAAAAGCTGGGGCATGACTTATCAGTAGAGCACCTGAATTCCAACTGCAGAACCATCAAAGGAACAGAAGGAGGTAGAGAGGGGTGTTGAAAAAATCTTCCTATCTAATCAATAGTGTGTTATGTGTTATGCCACAGTCAGTGGGGAAGACAACTTGAAGTGTAGTCGGGCCTTGTGGAAAGGGCAGGAGTTTTAGCACAGCTCTCTGGATATTTGCAGGATTCATATCCTTGAACTCAGCCAACTGTGCATTGAGAATATTGCACTGGAGGGAAAATTGTGTCTGCACTGAACATGTACAGACTGTTTTCCTTGTCATTGCTTCCTAAATAACACAGTATGACACCTACTCACACAACATTCACATCGTACCAGGTATTACAAGTCATCTAGGCCTGATTTAAAGTATACAGAATTTTATATAAGCACAGGAGTCCTGGAACCCATCTCTGTTGGATCCTGAATGACAGTATGTGTGCCCTTTCATTGTATCATGTGTAAAAATTACTGTCATGAAATAAACTTTTAACATTTTGAGAAAAGTGTAAGTATAACACAGATAAAATATGAAAACAATAAAACTTCCTGGAGGAAATGGAAGAATGGAGGTAGGCAGGTGGTTGAGGGTGGTAGAGTTCTATTGCTTTGGTTCTCAATGCATTAGGATCCCTTAAGTTTGTCAAAACTATTAAGGATAACAAAAATCTCCGTGTTGTGAGTTATTTCTATCAACATGGACTGGATTGGAAAGAGAAGCTGAGAAATAATCAATATTTGTTAATGCATTTAAACTGATAAATACATTCCATGCTGCTTAAATAATAGTTTACTTTAAAAATTTACTAGCAGATATTAATCATGCAAAGTGAGAGGTTTCATTGTGATATTTCCATACTTGCATACGATGCACTTTGACCATAATTCACACCCCATTACTCTTTATTACCCCTCCTAGTGGAGCTATGGCTAAAGTGGTAGAGCACTAGCTTTGAAACAAAAAGCTTAGGGACAGTGCCCAGGTTCTTCAAGCCCCATTCCTGAGACAAAAGAGAGAGGGCAGGAGAAGGGAGGGGAAATCAAGGGAGGGGAGGGGAAGGGAGGAGAAAGGAAAATAGTAACTAAGTACTGTCATGAAAGTTGTTCTGCCTTCAGTGGCACTCTTACCAGAGTTCCTGGGATCCAGGTTGTCGCAGACAATGGTCATTAGGAATGACCGTTCTCTAGGTTGCTTCATTTTATTTAATTGGGGAAAAAATCAAAAAGCCTCTATATTCTTGATATCTGTGAAGGGAATCATTTGTTTCCATGAAGACTGAAGAAGAGAGCAGAGTGACACAAGTCCTACATTAGAGCTAATTTATTCTGTCTTCATAGGAGTGTGGAAAGGCAATTTGCTTTCTCCTTCGTAGATGAAGAAACCAAGGCTTTGATAGGTAGCTTCTGTTGGGTGTGCAACAGGAGACATGTGTCCCATGAGGAGTAGGAAGGGACTTTATACCCTAACAGCTTTTCTCTCTCCTAGGCTGAGATGCAGGTTCAAGACCAGCAGCTTCTTCTCACACTGAGGCATCTTCACAGTGTCCTGGCAGAGCTGCAAGCCCAGAGTGTGCACTGGGACGATGCCAGGTCCAGCAGAGGAGCGTCTCCCATCCGGGCTCGAGCAGGCTCCGAAGGCAAGGGCTGCCAGCCTGTCTACTTGAGGGGACTGGCCCAGATCCTCCGAGGGGAAGAGAGCAGACGCAGCTCCCTCCCTTAAGAGGCTGGAGATGTGGGCTGGGAATGTGGCTTAGTGGTACAGTGCTTGCCTAGCATGCATGAAGCCCTGGGTTCAATTCCTCAGTAGCACATACACAGAAAAAGCCAGAAATGGTGATGTGCCTCATGTGGTAGAATGCTAGCCTTGAGCAAAAGAAGCTCAAAGACAATGCTCAGACCCTGAGATCAAGCCACAGAACTGGCAAAAAAAAAGAGGCCAGGGATGACACTTGCCTGAATCTTCCTTCTACTAGTCTAAACTTCCCCCTGCAATGTTTGGAAGGACAGTCATGAAGCCAGGGCTCTGGGTTTGTCTCCACCCTCACCTGCTGTATGTCCCTGGGCCCATCACTCATCTTCTCTGTCTTTCTGTCCCTTATCAGAAGCTGGTGGAAAAGTATAAATAAAGTGCTGGTTGTGAACAAGGTTTACAAGTGCCAGTGTGTTACACAGCTTCTGGCAAGCACTCACTATGGTAATCTAGACCTTGAGAATTTCCCACAAAGGAAGACCTTGATGTGTGGGGATGTGTTTCCATGGTGAACAATCAGAACGCATGTAGTGAATTAGTGGCTGATTTCTGTCTTCTCAATAGGCCTTCATATCCTCCTTTACCTGAAAAATATCCAAAATGAAACAAACAAACAAAAAAAAAACAGGTTCTAGTGCCACAGGAATGGAGATGTCACCAAACCTGGCCAAGAATATAGTTCATGGTTGCTGTTAGACAGCAACCACTGATTGGTTCAGTGGATGGGTATGTGACTGAACAGAGCCAATTGCCATCCTTTTCTGGCATTGCTGTCTGGATTATCTTTCTATTACAGTTATTTTATTTATTTTTTGGGTCCGGTTGTGGGGCCTGAACTCTGGGCCTGGGCGCTGTCCCTCAGCTCTTCAGCTCAAGGCTAGCACTCTACCACTTGACACTTCCGGCTTTTTTCTTTTTGCTTATGTGGTGCTGAGGAATCAAACCCAGGGCCTCGAGCATGCAAGGCAAGCGCTCTACCACTGAGCCACCTTCCCAGCCCCTATTACAGTTATATTATGGTCTAAGGACAAATGTTTGGATGTCATGTTGACAAGAAGTGAATTGCTGACTTTGTTGGACTGAGAGTTATCTATATTAGTAAAGGACATCTCTGAGTGTGTCCATGAGGTTGTCTCCAGAGACAATAAATCATGAGAGCTCTGGATGTCATAATTGGGAGGTGGTGTAAAGTAGGAGGTGGGTCCTGGTTGAAGGAAACACGTCCTCCAGGGGTCTACTTTGCCTTGGTCCCTTCCTGTAGCTTCTTTCCTTACTTTCTGTCCACTATGAGGTGAACAGGTCTCCTCCACCACACACTTCCCAGCCGCCATGATCAGCTCAAGTACAAGGGGTCAAGTGACTATAAGTAAAACAACTCCTTCCTCCTTTAGGGTGCTTTCCCGGGTATTTTGGTCACAGTGATGGAAAGGCAACTAACACAAGTTACAAAGGAGAAGGTTCTTTTTTTTTTTTTTTGGTCCGGTCGTGGGGCCTGAACTCTGGGCCTGGGCGCTGTCCCTCAGCTCTTCAGCTCAAGGCTAGCACTCTACCACTTGAGCCACAGCGCCACTTCTGGCTTTTTTCTTTTTGCTTATGTGGTGCTGAGGAATCAAACCCAGGGCCTCTAGCATGCAAGGCAAGCGCTCTACCACTGAGCCACCTTCCCAGCCCATGCAGAAGGTTCTTGTGGCTCTGTTCCCTGCTAGGAAGAGAAGAGCCGGCGTTATAGGCATGAAAAAGTCATGTCTTCAAAAAGAATAGAAAAAGGACTGTCCTCGAGATGGAGAACGAGGGAAAGTACTGGCGCTTTTTAGTTCCTAGTTCAGTTTTGTGAGTATCCACTGTATTCTTCCCAGTGAATTCCATCACCAGCATGCACAGCAATACATACCAGTTTGGGTTTTACTTAAACTGATTTAAGAAGGATTTTCCTCACTTGCAACCAGAATGGCCCCTAGGAATACAATACAGATGATCAAAGAAGCAAAGAAGAGAATCTCTCAGAAAAAGGGCCCTTCATTCAGTTGGGATTTGTGACAATGACCTCCAGAATAGCTGGCAGCAAGACTCATGACATGGCAATGTTACTGGAACTGATAATGCTTGTCCCAGTGGAGCCGCCAAAGAGCTGTTACCGGATCCGATCACATCTGGGACTGACAATGCTCAAGGGAGGGGGCTCTGCCTGGCCCTGGGGTGGCCAGTTTGTGCTGTTGCTGGGGAGCGAGGGAGGGGGAAGAGTTTAAGGTAAAGACTCAGAAAGCTTATTAGTAAAGCCAAGGAAAGGAGAGCTGGAAAAATAGTACATTACCCAGATCTAGGCATGGGCACACCTGATAACAGGTACCATGAGTGCTCTAACATCACAGGTGATTACAGTAAAAATTTTAAAAGGCTGAGGTTTGGCTCCGATTTATCAGAGAATAAGTGTTCTTTTTTTGTTGTTGTTGTTCAAATACCTGGTATATTCTGTCATTCTTGTTAACTTTTTTCTTTTTTTATTAAAGCAGAGATTTCAAGGTTGGCCCATTCACTAAACTTGGGTTATTGATGTCTGGGGACTCCTTCAAACCAAGGATGGATTCTGCCACATGTTCCCTTTGAGTCTGATATCCTCCGTTGCGACTATGTATTTTTAAACATACTTTATACACCAAAAAGTCATTTCCCCAGAATGTCTGAAAGAAAAAAAGAAACGATTTTGTTGCTCAGTCCTAGATCATGTTAACCAGAGGGCAAGTGGACAAGAACAAGGATAGGAAAAGAGATGTTTTTTTTTCCTTTCAAAGGTTTTTGTTTGTTTATTTTTAAGCTAGGCACCAATAGGGTCACGCCTGTAATCTTAGCTACTCAAGAGGTTGAGATCTAAGGATTGTGGTTCAAAGCCATTCTGGGCAGGAACGCCTTTAGGACTCTTTTCTCTAATTATCTACCAAAATGCTGAAAGCAGAGCTATAGCCAAATGGAAGAGCATTAGCCTTGAAGAGGGGCAGGGTGGGAAGGGGGAAACCTCAGGGACAGCACCCAGGGCCCTGAGTTCAAGCCCCAGAACTAGCACACAAAACAAAAACACAAACAAAACTTGTAGCCCATGAGGGAATATAAGGACAAAAATAGTGCTTCTGTGTTTTTAATCAAGCAACTCACGAATATAGTGTTTGTTTCTAAATTCTTGGCTGCTGTTTCCCAGGGCTCTTTCTCTGATCGATTCTACTTTAACAGGACACTCAATTATATGGAGCGTGGCAGTCATAACTTTGAAATGATATCTGCTTGTTTAAAAAAGATTAAAACAGAAAAGATGAAAATGAAAAAGATCACTGTGCTAAGATGGTCCACTTACAAGTAGGTGTTTTTGTGTTCTGTTTGTCAGTCATGGGACTTGAACTCTGGGCCTGGGCATGGTCCCTCAGCTCTTCAGCTCAAGGTGAGCTACCACTTGAGCCACAGCTCCACTTCCAGTTTGCTGGTGGTTAATTGGAGATAAGAGTCTCACGGACTTTCCTGCCTGGTCTGGCTTTGAGCCGTGATCCTCAGATTTCAGCCTCCTGAGTAAGTTAGGATTACAAGTGTGAGCCATTGGCACCCAGCTTCAAGTAGGTGAGTTTCTTTTTAATATCAACTTGCATTTTTTGGGTGTGTGTGTTAGTCCTGGGGCTTGAACTCAGGGTCTGGGCACTGTCCCTGAGCTTTTGTGCACGAGGCTAGCATTCTATTACTTTAGCCACAGCTTCACTTCCAGTTTTTTGGAGGTTAATTGGAGATAAGAGTCTCACAGATTTTTCTGCCCAGGCTAGTTTCAAACCAGGATCCTTAGATCTCAGCCTCTTGAGTAGCTAGGATCACAGGTGTGAGCCACCAACACTCTACTTCTACTTGCATTTTATTAGAATGTTACTTCTGTGACTTTGGAAAATCAATCCACTACATATAGAGGCAGAGTAGGGGATGTGCATAATAAGCATAATATCTGTAGTCAAATATATATACTATTTGATAACATAAAAGTACTTGCTCTGTGGTGCTGGAGGCTGGGACCCTGTGTTTCCAACTGCTTGCTGTGAGACTTTGCTGGCTTTGCAATAAACAGAGTATAGCCAGCGTACCTGAAGGAGGATGGAGAAGGGACTGGCTTGCTGGAAGTCTTTCTGTCCCAATAAACGCCACACAGAAATGTAACTTCACCTCATGGCAGCAATTTCTTGCCTGGCTGTATCCATTCCCAGGATCTAGGTACAGTCCAGGCCCATAGATACCTCCCTTGAACCCAGAGAGACCAACCCCAGCTGAGCTGAGCTCCCTTCCAAGCTCTCTGCCTGTAAGGTCTGTCCTTTTGTTCTCTCAGCCGTGGAGGTGGTTGGTGTGTCCTGTAATTGCTACCTTACAGTTCTTTTTATAACCTCTCAGTCACTCAGTTCACAACTTTATATCCAGTTAACAATTCTTTATATTAAATTCTTTATACTAATAATAACACAAACCTGATGTGGTTTTTGCTTTCTTCCTGTCCCCTTCTGATACCCTGTACTGTCACGTCTACCATGCCACTGTGTCACCCTGTGCACAAGTACAAGATTCGTTAGAATATACATCTGAGAATTGGGTTAAACGTCTGAATACTCAAGTTTACAACTTGTTCCAAGGTTGAGTACCTACATGGACAGGGCAAGAGTTCTTGATGCTTCTTACCTGACCACCACTTGATAGTATCAATCAATCTTTTTAAAAATATTTTTTATTTTTGTTACAGAGGTGATATCCAGAGGAGTTATAGTTACATAAGTCAGGTAATCAGTACATTTCATTTTGGACAATGTCACCCCTTCCCTTGCTCACTCCCAGTTTTTCCCTCCCTTCCCCGCCTACATCAATCAATCTTAAATGTTGCCAGTACAATGGGCACAAGATAGTATTAGAATGTGATCTTAGCATGGCACTAAAAAGGCCAATTACTGTCAGATTATTATTGC